TTTTACTAACACAGTCCTCTGGGAAAATTACTCAAACTATTAGTATCTATAAGATAAGTAATTTCTTATGAGATGGTAAGGATTCCCCTAATTATTCCTTTGACGAATGTGGTTGCTTTACAGCTAGTCTTAGTTGTCCCAATGCCTCTGTATTTTTGGCCAGTTTACTAAGTGAATCCTCATTGCCCAGAACAGTACTAGATCTAAAAGATAGGAAGAAGTCCCCCAGAAAAATGAGACTGAGAAACTGACACCCCTCATAGTCATATTTTCCAGCAGTTTTATGACCATGATTCAGGTGGTGGAATTTTTCATCTTATCCTAGATAGTGATAGTATATTATAAAACTTTGTGTCTTCCAGTCACAAGTGACACAGAAAATAAGAAAAGTAAAGAAAAGAAAAAAGCTTTTGAGTTTACTGAGAGTTTTTGGTTGTTACCTCAGTATAATCTAGCCCAATTTTCTAATTCAGAACTGGGTATGAAAGTAGAGTATTTCTATAACAAGACCTCTAAAATATTTGACATTTTTCTAGGGACCAGTCGGAGAGCAATGAGAAAAATCTTATTAGAAGCTGAAAGTATCCATGTGAGGAGCTAATAACTTGTCATTTTAGTGTATAGATTTCTGAGGCAAAATGAGCCACATCTGATGGAGAGAATATTCCTCTGTTCTTGAATATAGAGGATACTTTGCACCATTCAGAGATCCTGGACTTTTAACTTGAGCTATGAGTAGGTAGGAATGTTTGGTTATCTCCAGCAGAAGAGGGAAAAGAATATTTTGTCTGCAAGAAAAAAAAAAAAAAAAACATACACTAAATCCTAGTATCCAAAGGGGAACAATGCATAGTCATTAATTCTATTTACCCAATATTTTTGTCTTTCTCCTCATAGGCACTTGATGAGATGTTTCTTCTTTTCTTCTTTGGGATTGGGAGTGGCCATGGAACTTGATTTAGCCCTGAAATGTGAATGAAAGTGGTGTCCGTCATTTCCAGGCTGAAAATTTAAAAGCCAGGAATCTCCCTTCGGGAACTATGAAAACACCATTTGGAATCAGTATTCCAATGTAAGAAGAATTCAGAACAGATACAGCCAGACAACCCTTGATGGATGTGTAAAATGAGCAATAGATAAAACTTCACCCTGGGTGAAGGGCTCAACTACAACTTGAACTTTACCTTAGAAATGAAAACAATGTAACCTAAACATGTGTACCCTCATATCTATCTGAAATTTTTAAAAAAAAAGAAAGAAAGAAAGAAAGAAAGAAAGAAAATTTTATTTACTTTAATGCACTCAAATTTTGGAATTTTTGTTATCAGAATATAATCTAATCCACATGAGTAACATACTATGTGAGTGTCAACACTTCCTGTATTCTCTGTGTCTCCATAATGGCCAGGATCAAGGAAGAGCCCACCTCATAGGTATTATGGTAACGATTGCACATGCTGACACAGGTAGCAAGGCTACAGTAGGGGCTGGAAGGATTAAGTGCTCAGTAGATATTAGTATAATTATTTTTTAAAAAAACAGATTTTAGTAGATGCTACTAGTACTTATACTTCACATCTCATTGGCCCACTTGACTTCAGCCACAGCTACAAAGGGTGGCCCTGTACATGCTTGGACTTACCTATGCTGATAAGGTTGCACCTTAAGTTCATGCTGCATTTCTATTTTTCTAGTCTATAACCTTTTCTGACACAAGGAAGCTGGTATAACCCAGGAGCAAGAGCAGTCCTCAGAGCAACTCTCAAACAACAGGGGACAGAAACTGGTGAATAAATACTCATTTCTTCTCTGTTCACTCACCAGGAAACCCGTGGAAATGAGTCCCTGTTGTTGCTCTCTTAGGTTTCGACACATTAGTTTTCCCTCCGTTCTTGGGCATCACCTAAATATATCGTCCGATATTTGAAAGTGACTTTCAAACCCTCTTTCACTCCTCTGAGGCTTCTTTAGGCAAAAGATCTCCATTTGCATCCAACACTGCTTACGGGATAATGAGCCTCTCACCATTGTCACTATCTCCAGGCAGCTAAAAAGTGGTGACCTGGGGCCTAGAGAGCCACACACTTTCTCAACAGCTATTCTGACTTACTCTACTGCACTAAAAACTAATTAAAACTGACAAGTACTTTTCACATTAAATCTTCTGACGCCAATAAAAATAAAGACATTCTCATTACTAGATTCTTATTACTATTATTCTGTTGCATATCTTACTTAAGATATTATATTATGTTAAATAATTTATATTGACTACTTTACGAGGAATGAATTAACCCTCCTAGTAATCTTATAAGGCAAGGCTGCTATTTTACTCATTTTGCTGATAGGGTACCAGACTGACAGAGACTAAACATGTTCCTTATGATCACACAGGAAGCCAAATGAAGATTTGAACCCTAAACCTACAGAAGCAGCCATGTCTTCATCACATCTATAGCGTCTCATTGTGTTGAGCCCATTACTCTGTCCTGTATGGGACATCATTCTATTTGATGAGACCTACCCTGTCACATGATGTCTTTGACTCGTTACTCATTAATTTCTTAGGCATTAAAAAGTACTTCCCTCGGCCCCAAGTTTATCATCTGCTACTATTCACCTTTATCATTTTAAAGACCCTTATATCTTCAGTGAGATATCTTATCTCAATATTTAAACTTTTTTCTTATTTAATGAGAAATTATATCAAAGTTTGGATTTTGATTTGTCTGTTTGTTTGTTTGTTTGTTTGAGACAGTCTCACTCTGCTGCCCAAGCTATAGTTCCAAGGCGTCAGCCTAGCTCACAGCAACCTCAAACTACTGGGTTCAAGCAATCCTCCTGCCTCAGTTTCCTGAGTAGCTGGAACCACAGGTGCCCATCACAACAACTGGCTAATTTTTCTATTTTAGGTAGAGACAAGGTCTCACTCTAGCTCAGGCTTAACTCCTAAGCTCAAGTGATCCTCTTAAACTTGAGGATCAAGTTTAAACTCCTAAGCTCAAGTGATCCTCTCACTTCGGCCTCCTAGAGTGCAGGGATTATAGGCATGAGCCACCATGTCCAGCCTATAAGTCAGAGTTTATAAGTAGTGATTTAAACATCAAAGCTTACTATTAATGAGAGGGCTCCAACTCTGGCTCTAGAATAACTTTTGTATGTCTCTGGACATTGTTAATACCATCCACAGGTTTTTCCCAGTTATCCATCTTCTGTGCACATGCTAGGACAGCACTTTCTGCCCCTGCTGTGGTTGAGTGGATACATATGACTATCCTTGGTAAATGAACTGTGAGCAAAAGTGACAGATGCTACTTTGGGGCTAGAGCTTTTAATCATACTGGAGACATTCTAGAACTCTCCCTCCACCACAATGATGGGCAAAGTTCCAGATCGTACCTACTTTATTAGCCAGGTTTGAGTGAGCAAAACATGGTATAGTCTCTCTAACTGACATATGACACTTTCTAGTGTGAGGAAACTAAACCTTTATTGTTTTAAACCACAACATACGGTGACCATTTGTTATAGCAGCACAAAATATACCATCTTGACAGATCATTCCTAGATAAGTCACTCTACTTCTTTTACCTTTAATTTCATCATCTGATTTAACAAATAAAAGGGAAAGAAAAATTAATATTGAATAAACATCTCTTATATGTAATCTAATTTAGTAACATTAAAAGTATCACCTTTGTAAAAATATTCCTAAATCCAAAGAAATCTCGTCTTTACTACTATCACAGTAATCCAAGCCACTGCTAACTCTCATTAGCCTTTTATCTACCTCTTATTAAAATTTCACCCTCCTTAATTCTCCTGCTCAAAACCCTCCAAAGATTTTTCCCTACAGTTGGAATCAGATCTAAATCTTATAAGAGTTTACATGAACTTGTACCCACTAGCCCCTTCCATCTAATCCTTCATACTCTCCTGACCACTTGTTAAGTTCCAGTTATATTGATCTTCCTGGTGTTTTTAAAACATCGAGTTTGTTTCTGCCTCAGGTCCTTTGCACTTACAATCACTTTTGCTATGAACATACTCCCTTCCTTTAGCTCTTTCATAACTTAAGTCAACATTGAGATGTCGGCTCGAGTGGCATTCCCTGAGATAAGCATTCTTTGACCACTCTTGATAAATATTTACCAATTATTTTCTGCAATCATGTTTATTCACCAGTCTCCTTGTATGCTTTCAGTATTCCCTGCTATGGGAAAAGCTCCATGAGGGTAGATACCTTGTCTTGCTTGTTCACTGATGTTTCTACAAAGTCTAGAGTGTTGCCCAGCACCTAGTTCATCCTTACAAATTATTTGTTGAACACAATAGAATTAATGAGACAGATAAGGAAATAAGCCTCCAAGAGTCTGAGTAATTTTCCTAATTTTCCTAAATTTCTATGGGTGTGCCTAATTCTGAAACCCACTTGCTTTGGCTACAGCAAGGCAGGCACTGTCAAAAGAGACTGAGGTGTCCGGATAGCAGGCAGGGCTGGACGATGGGCAAGTGCCTTTTCAGGCTTTAGATTTTATTGTTGATGCAATCAAGACCAAAAAGTCACATTGATCATGCTTTTTCCAGACAGCCCTGAATTTCCAATGGAACAAGATAACTTGAGAATTCTATTGATCTCCCATTTTTGTCATGCTGTAGAGGTGACAAGGATCAATGGAGATTTGCACTTTTCTACCCACGACTCAGCAACTTTAATTTGTGTTTCCATCCAGATTCCCACAACTTTGCAGCATGCGTTCCTCTCAGCGTCCACCCCTTATTCTAGTTAGAGGCACGATCTGTGTGAGCTCTGCCTCCCCAGCTCCTTCCAATTCAAAGAAAGTTCTCTCCCTCCGCCCCTGCTCCCTGAAACAACCGCAGCATTTCCACGCTGCTCTCTCACTGTGCAGCCTGACACGCTCTCATTGGCCCACAGCCCTTCGAGGGGAGGGGCTTGCGTCTCGGGGGCTCTTCAAAAGGGATCAGTGTCTGAGCGGCCCAACCTTGCCGCTGAAACACTGCCTCGCAGCCCTCTTCACCGAGCCTGTGCTTTCCTGACTGCTGTCTTTTTCCTTTCTGGCTCAGCTTGAGACAGAGCCTCATACCAGGGGAGCCTCAGGTCCTTCAGGCTTTTAATGTCAGTCATGGAAAAACTTGAGAATGTTTCCTGGATCTACCAGCAGGAGCTGGAAGATCCATTCCAGAAATACCTAAACAGCACTGAGGACTATCTGGCCTTTCTCTGCGGACCTCAGCGCAGCCACCTCTTCCTCCCCGTATCTGTCGTGTATGCGCTGATTTTTGTGGTGGGCATCGTTGGCAATCTCCTGGTGTGCCTGGTCATTCTGCGGCACCAGGCTATGAAGACACCCACCAACTACTACCTCTTCAGCTTGGCGGTCTCTGACCTTCTGGTCCTGCTCCTTGGAATGCCCCTGGAAGTCTACGAAATGTGGCGCAACTACCCCTTCCTGTTTGGGCCGGTGGGTTGCTACTTCAAGACAGCCCTCTTTGAGACCGTGTGCTTTGCCTCCATTCTCAGCGTCACCACCGTCAGCGTGGAGCGCTACGTGGCCATCCTGCACCCGTTCCGGGCCAAGCTGGAGAGCACCCGGCGGCGGGCCCTCCGGATCCTCGGCGCCATCTGGGCCTTCTCCGTCCTCTTCTCTCTGCCCAACACCAGCATCCACGGCATCAAGCTCCACTACTTCCCCAATGGGTCCTTGGTGCCGGGCTCTGCCACCTGCACAGTCACCAAGCCCTTGTGGATCTACAATTTCATCATCCAGGTCACCTCCTTCCTCTTCTATATCCTCCCCATGACTGTCATCGGCGTCCTCTATTATCTCATGGGGCTCAGAGTGAGTATGCAAGCTGGCTGGCCTGAGGTTCAGAGAAAAACTTAGAAGTGGAGAAATTTAGAATCAGAAAGAAATAGAGAAAAATAGAGTGAGCTCAGTTGCCTCAACTGAGTTGAGGCAAGTTAAAGGACTTGCCTCAAATTAGACAAATAATAACTCTATTTATCATTTCCTTTAGCTCATATTCCGTTATTTCCCCACTCTGTTCTTGTAGTTCTCATATCTAAGTCTTCCTAAAAATCACCTAGAAAACTTGCTATGGCTACCAACAGGTATGCCCCACTCCTGGGAAAATCTAATTCAGCAGGTCTGAATAAGAGAGCACATCAGATGATCTGGGGTTATGTGGCCACACCTTGAGAGACTCTGCCACATCCTGCTGTCTCCACTCACTTCCCACATTGAGATTTTCCTCTGTACCAACTTGGTCTAAGGCATAACACCTGCCTCTGTTATAGTCCAAGACTTCTTAATGGTTGCTTGACCCTTTTGGTTGAAATATCAGGTTAAAATATTTTAAAAAATTATGATCTGAGTGAGATCTACTTGGACTCCTATTAAGCAGGTGGATATTAAGGGATGAGGTGAACAGAGCACATAAAATACTGTAAAAGGAAGTGTGAATAAGAGATGCATGGAATTAAGAGAAAAGTATCAATTATTTGCAATATATCTTGAAATTAGAGGTTCTGTTCCTATGATCATGATTGTAAACTGATTTCTCTTAGGGTAGGGGTCTAAATTAGCTGAGTAAAACTATATTTGATAAGAGTAAGAGTAAGTCTCTATAATTCCTCTACTGACATATTCTGCACCCAAATTCATGGTGGTGAAAGTTCTTGACTGTGACATTTTTAACCCATTAAGGAGAAAGCTTGGGTAGTAAATAGTTATGTCCACAGGTGATACATAATACACTCTTAGGAAAACCACATAGTTCTCCTGGATGTAATTTTTCCCTATAAAGTGAAAAAGTCACATCAGAGTATATCTAAAGCTCCTTCTATGATTCCTTAAGAAAAAGGGGAGGGAGGATCCTCTGTAAGCTGGAGTAGTATAGGTTATAAATGAAGGAGAATAAAACAGATATCATACTCACATTATATGCTTCAAGGTGGCTCTGACCCCATAACGTATGTGACAACTAGTATATTCCCATCTCGGGCATCTCTGAGAAAGATGATTGTCAGAAATGAGTGCCCCATAGGTGCCCCTCTTGAATAACTCTTGTCCCTAAGGTGAATGTTGAGGGCCAAGTAGGAAAAACAAATTCTGTGCTACAGATGTTTAGGGACAAAAGTAAATCTAATCAGGTAGAGAATCGTGTCAATCTCCTCCTGAAAAAGTGGCTCCTCTATTCCAAGACATGCATGTTACCCCAGATTATCTCACAGAGATGTCTTAGAACGCCCTGTGCATCTCACTGGAGAGAAAAAACTTCTACATAACTCCAAATAGGCTCCAGTGAGAAATCCCCACCTGAAACCTACCAATAGGTGATTGGCATCCAATGCCAATCACTTACCTGGAGTCATTTTAGAAGATATTTAGCTTTGAGTAGGAAACATATATTTCATCCCTGACCTATTAGACTTAGTTGAATTTTGCTTTATTGGCATGAATCAGAAGCTACCTTGTATCAGAAGCTAAGTAACAGTTCAGAAAGTAGCTTAGAAACCATCCTGGTTTGCTCCGCTTTAATGCAACTTATGAAAGCTTGTTCTCAGGAAAGATGAGGGGTTATCCGGGTTACGAGAGGACACCAGGAGAGGAACTATCTGCTTAAAAAGTCACCCTTCGAAGAATTTAAAAATCTCTTTATTGAGTCAGGAAAAGTAAGTCCTATTGTGTGGCATTGACTTCATGCCCTTTGTACATATTTTTGCCTGAAATGTTTCCACTGCCCACTACCACAATCCTTTTTGCCTTTCCTACTCTCCTTTAGCCTTTATGTCACATTTCCTCAGGGAAGCTCTCACGTAAATTACTCCTACCTATCCCCTAGCTCTTACTGTATTTTATTTTATTTATTTTATTTATTTTACCTTATTTTACCTAAATATACCTGGTTCCTGTAAGTGTTCCCATATCCGAGTGATATTCCTTAATTGTAATTTATAATTCTATACTTGTAGATTCTTTAATTAATTTCTTTCTATCTAACTAGTTGGTAAATTCAGTTAATGAATGAGACTAAATTACTTCCCTTATTGCTAAGCTTTTCAATCTTTAAAATAAAAGACTAAAAATATTACTTCTAAGGGCCTTTTGGATCCAAGAGATTTAAAGAGATCCAAGCAACCCTACTGATTGTTAAGTTATTGACTCTCTTGGAAGGTCTAAAGGGGAGATTGACCCTGGGACCCGCAGCCTTGGGAAGGCAGCAAACCCAGACTGATGTAATCATAGGATGAGGGAAGGAGGGAAGCCATATGCATGCTCAAAGCTAAACCTTTGATCCTGATGCATTATTCTAAGACACAGTCTCCACCAAGCTGCTCTCCAGGGTTTAAATATTATGGAGATGGAAACAGACAATTCCAGGGAATTTGAGAGGAAGCTCTGATGAAGGTCTGACCTCATCCTTATACCACCTGCACGTGGCATTAATGCTTGAGTTCATAGGGATGAATATATGAATTGTGGCAGAATCCAACCATGCCAACACAAGGTTATACTGATTCTTTTTTTTTTCTTTTTTAGTAAATACATTATGTTAAAAATGTAGAGATATTTACATAAGATCAATTATAATCTTGGTATTCTGGAACCAAATATACACAAACTTCTTAAATGAATATGAACAGCTGGTGGAGTAATTTCAATCAGTGTAAATAATTAATCAAAATAATATATAATCCTGAATGGTAATCAACCCCATGACCTTTCTCTTGCTTTGATCTACCATAGCTAAAGAGAGTAGGGTAGGAAGCTCTCTGAACTTCCTATATAGTAACCACAATTTTTCATTCCTATTCTTGTAACCTGAATTTTAAAATGAAAGTTAAAGCTTTATTTATAATCCTAGCACTTTGGGAGGCCAAAGCAGGAGGATTGCTTGAACCCAGGAGTTTGAGATTCACCTGAAAAACATAGGAAGACTCTACCCTTATAAAAAAAAAAAAAAAACAAGTTGGGGTGGCGCCTGTGGCTCAAAGGAGTAAGGCGTTGGCCCTATATGCCCGAGGTGGCCGGTTCAAACCCAGCCCTGGCCAAAAACTGCAAAAAAAAAGAAAGAAAGAAAGGAAAGAAGGAAGGGAAGGGAAGGGAAGGGAGGGGAGGGGAGGGGAGGGGAGGGGAGGGAGGGAGGAAGGAAGGAAGGAAGGAAAGAAAGAAAGAAAGAAAGAAAGAAAGATAGATTGATTGATTAGTTGGGCATAATAGCATACATCTGTAGTCCTAGTTACTCAGGAGACTGAGGCAAGATCATTGGAGATCCTATCTCAAAATAAAAATAATGAAATAAAATAAAGTAAAATAAATAAAATAAAATACAATAAGAACTAGGGGATAGGTAGGAGTAATTTATGGTTGAATATCTACTTTGTTAAACACCTGAAGGGAAATGGTATTCTTCAAAAATAAAGTAGCATTTAATATCAGCTAGACAAATTGTTTAAATTCTATTTTATGTCAAGCACTTCAAATTCTGCTGGAACAATGTACAACATGCATAAATATTCAATTTTCACTCTTCCTCTAATTAGCTGTTCACTATAACCTAAGAAAGCTGCAAAGTAAGCAATGGTTGATCGACACATGATTTTCTTTTCAATGCCAACTATGTTTGTACAGGAAGCCTGTCCATAAAAGAATTGTGAACTATTTGATGTTTTATTAAAAAAAATTATTCCTTAGGGTGGAGAAATTACTGTAGAGAATTGTTAAACCCAACAAAAGAAATGGCTAGTGACTAGTAGATCTCAATATGGGTTTAGTGTTCTTAATCACATACTGAAATAATAACACAACTGGACCTTGTTAATAATTACAGTCTTTTAAAAATGGTGTGAAATCATTATAACCTTTAATAGATTTAATCTAAGATGAGTTAGTAAAATTGGCAATTTAACACATTGTCCTACCCTTGAACATGCATCTCTTTGCCTCTGGCTGCTTCTTTGTGTCAACATGGGCACCCCTTGTGGGGGAGTGGTATGAGAACGAGAATTTCTAGAAGACACTCAGTAATCCTTGTGATTGAGCCATAGAAATAAATAACTCTAACTACAAATAAATAACTCTATTTTTTTTTTTTTTTTTTTTTTTGCATTTTTTGGCCGGGGCTGGGTTGGAACCCGCCACCTCTGGCATATGGGGCTGGCGCAATACTCCTTTGAGCCACAGGCAAAACCCAATAATTCTTTTTAAATCAGTTTTTATTATGTCTTTTGACTAGACATGGGACAATAATTAGAATCACAGTACTAACAATAATATGCAACTTGCTGAGTATCCCATGCGAGACACTGAGATAAGCACTCTACTTGCATTATTTTGTTTTACTTTTTATATTAATAACATCTTACCATCTTCATTTTTCTCCCACCTAGTCTTTAATTACTGTACAATTATTCTTCTATTTCTTTTCAAGTTCTAGGTGACTCTAAAGGGTCAAATCTCACAAGACCTTTAATTCCTCACCTTATGAAGGCACATGTAGAGGGCACCAATATGTCCAGGACACAAATGGCCAGGTTTACTATTCATCCAAGTGAATGCTTCAGGGCCCCTGTGGTCCTCAGAGCCTCGTGTTTGTTTGGGAAATAGAATATGGGCCTGTTGATCTCTAAAGGCAATTCTTAGTGATCCACCCTTTTGAGTCTTATTTAATTTTAAATACCCTCTCTAAAATATTCCCTTAAAATGCCATCTAGTCCAGAAAGCTTACTGTTTCTTAGGGCAGTTTGTTCCATTGTTGCACACATCTGATTATATCAATTTCTTCCTTACCTCAGGTTGGAATCTATCTCCTTATAATTCAATATCTCCCTCCTACTCTACCCTTGGGACCATAAAATAAGTTAAATTTTTCTTCCATTTGATGGCCTCAATCAATCATTCAGAACTTTTTACATTGCCAGTGAGGGAACCCCAACTCAATCTGGCAAAAAAAAAAACATGAAGGAGGGCATGGACCTGACAAGCTCAGAAGCAGAGCTGGCTCTCGGTGAAGATCAATCTCCAAGGTTATTAAGGACCTCACTTTATTTCTGTTTCTTGGCTCTTCTTTCTATGGTATTGGAAAGAAGAGTCAAACTCAACCTCAAACTGCACATTGTTGTCCACTAGTAGCTTCAAGCACCTTCTTTATGGTAGAGGAAAAAGAAAAAAGCTTTTGTTATTTTTGTTATACCAAACCTTCAATACAGAGAAGGGCTCCCCCTGTCAGTACTGATTTAAATAAAAGAAGCAAAACTTCCATTCTTAGGAGTACAATACCTGAAGCACTATTGGCCCCAAGTATGCAATCACTGTGACTAGGAGATAAGACAGGCTGCTAAGTTATTTAGAGACTATGGCTAGAGCTGGACCTAGGGATCATTCTCATCCAAATTCATGACTAAGAATAGGGAAGGAATGCACTCCCTAAGAGAAAATCAGGGTGCTATTGGTAAGATAAGAAAAGAATAAATGCTAGAGGACCAGTGTGCAAATATATACTAACACTATACTGTACTATACTAATGTCTAGATACTTGATGGTAGTTTACCATGAGTCCTTAAAGCTTCCTTTACCTGGATGAACACTCCACACTCCCTAGACTAAAAAATATAGATATATAAATTAAAGGGAGAAAATTTTGCTCCATGAATAGTGTAGATCTTCAGTGCTTTGGCAGTTCAGAGGAAAGAGAAGGCAGTGGACTAAAGTGGATACCGAAATCTTCAGGCCTAGGTGGGGCTTGAGCTGAATAAAACAGATGGCACACACAGGAAGTATTGATATTTCAAATTTTCAGATGTTACATCAAGGATCAACACAACTTCTAACTACGGTGAATATATTTCAAAATCTACACTCAAGAAACACATGCACTTTTATTAGTACAGTAGCATGTCAAGATGGTACAAGGTAATCCACTGAGAAGGGTTAGAAAACACTGTTCCCCTTTTGGCTGGGATGGGGGTAGGAGATGGGACTGTAACAGTGGGGGAGTGGCTAGGAGGACTAATGATGCACTGCCCTTCATGAATATTCATAATGCCTATTAGCATATTAAAGGTTCTGAGAAGACTCACTATGAAGATTGACCTTTCATGAGGCAGGAATAATACCTGCTTTTGTTTTATGTTGTCTACCTATTTCACTATAATAGAAGTCTAATATTACTAAATGAATAAATGACTCAAAGAGTCAATCCAACTAGGTTTTCTTTTTTTTTTTTATTTTACTTAAGAATTTAATATTTTTCATGGAATACCTACTAACATGCTACAATATCTCGGTTTCTACAAATTTGCATAAGAAAAATGGATGCATTGCAACTTAACCACAATCATCTATCCAATTGGCTATGTTCTATCTCCAACTTACTCTAAACATTTGACATTTTCTTACATTGCTCTAAGTCCCAGTTGTCTTCAAAATGAGTGTTAGTTATGTCTCTCAGATCATTAAGAAAGAAAAAAAATTGCTTCCCTTTCTAACCATCTCTTTCTACTTTCTTTCCAGCTGAAGAAAGACAAATCCCTTGAGGCCAATGAAGCAATTGCAAATATTCAAAGACCCTCCAGAAAATCAGTCACCAAGATGTTGTGTGAGTCCTTTACTTTCTTTTGTTTTGTTTACAAGAGCAAAGAAGGCACATTTGGTAGTGGGGTCAGATCCATAGTTATCCTGAAATATATTTGTGAGGGTAGATTAAGATTAAAAGAAACCCAAGACATTAGGTAGGTAATGGTCTAACTCAATGTTGTTCAATCTTTTTTATCTCATGGCACACTTGAACCTATAGTTAAAACTTCCGTGGCACACTTAAATTATATTGATGAAAAAAAAAGTAAAAAAAAAAATATATATATACTTACTGTGCTTTGAACTTCTTTAAAAATAATGTAATTAATGATCTTAAAAAATTTTCATGGCATATCAGTTGAAAATCACTGGTCTATCTAGATAGATACATGGTACGAGGTGGACTATCTTTCTTGGTTTACTCAAGTTCTTATGACTTGTATATTTCATTTCATTTTTTATTTTGAACCCTCAAAACAACATGTTAAATTTTATCCATTGTAATACACTTTGTGTAGTATTTGATAAATTATATCTACTTTCTGCGCCTTTGAATATCACTTTCTTCCCCTTCTAAAAAAATGAACAGGTGGTTTTTAATCTATTTATGTTATGGTTTTCTTTAAAAATATGATAAAAGCTGTGGACTCCCCACCCTGAAAATATACAAGTATGCATACATAAGATAACAATCCATTTCAGGATTGTAACCTCCTAATGCCCACCCACAGACTCCATGGGATCCTCTTTTAATTCCAGATTAAGAACATTTGGCCAAGAGAACCTCTGAGTTGTCATTTTACCTATGACCTCATATAACTATATCAAACAGTATGCTTATAAATAAGATACTAAAAAAATATATCCAAGTACTGGCCCACATTCTCCCAAAAGAATGTTATAAAAATATACGATCCAGCACTACTCCCTGAAAGCAATCGATGAGAGAAAGGAAATTTATAATATACTTTCCAAATAAAAACCTAAGGTTTGAAAGAAAGGAATCTTCATGGCTATTATGCATATGAAACATTCACTATGTTGTATTTGTGAATAAAAAATTGTGAAGTCACTGAAGTTAGTCTTTTCAATTCTGATATTCATCTTCTTGGAAATATGTTAGCCTTTGTTGGCACCTGAGTTTTCCTATTAAGGAAACAAGTGTCTCCATTATTTCTTCCCTTTTCTCATGGATGGTAATCTATTCTTATAAACATCTTGACACCCACTCACATCAAAGTCACACTAACAGAATATACTATAAAGTATGTGCCTTGGGAGGAAGTTCAATTTTAACAGGAATTAAATTTTTAACTAAAGAGAAGAAATATAGGCCATAGTGAGCAGATTGGGATCTTGAGTGCAAAGTTTAGAAAAAGTCTCCAGATATCTCTGAAACCACATCCCACAGGCAAATGACTTACTCTGAAAGTGTTTAATGCCAACAGGAAATAGACCATTACTAAGAAAACTTGAAACATTCACACAGACACAGAGAACTGAAAAATGAATGCCCAAATACCCGTCACTCATCCTCAAAAATTATCACATCATAACTGACCGTGTTTTATCTTGTACCCTCATACCCTACAAGATGATTTTGAGGAAAATTCCAAGCATAATGTCATAGCAAAATCAAGTATTCTACAACTTCAGAAGAGAAAGAACATTACATATTTATACTTGTGGAGCTTAAAGGCCACAAAGAGAAATTGCAATAGCACCTATCTCTGTCTTGAGCATGGAAAATAAGAAATTCAAAAGAATTCTGTGCTGTATTGATTTATAATATAATAAACACATCCCCTCCCAAGAAAAAGATGCTTGTAGAGCACTTATTAAGCTTGTGGTTGTTCAATCTTCCTCTCTCTCATTCCCAGCCCATGACAGAATTTAAAATTATTGAATTCAGAGAAACTTCTATTTCAAGAGTCACAAGATGAATTCATTCATAAATTTAATAGTTTGTTAATATATAACTTCGAAGAATACTAACTGCTTAAATCCACCCATTTATTTTATATACAAGTTTCTGTGGCTCCAGCTATCTACTTAGAACAAGCTTTATTTTTCACAATAAAATGTTTTGGAAACATAACCTGCAAATATCCTCTCCCATTCTGAGGGCTTTTTCTGCTTGCTTTATTTACTGTGTTCTTGGCTGTGCAGAAGCTTTTTAGTTTGATCAGATCCCAGTAATATATTTTTGGTATTGCTTCAACTGCTGGGGGTGGGGGGATAGGGTCCTCTTCATAAAATATTCTCCCAGGCTAATTTCTGCAGGTGTTTTCCCTGAACTCTCTCCAAGTATCTTTATAATTTTACCTCTTAAGTTTAAATCTTTTATTTAGTAAGAATCAATTTTTGTTAACGGTGAAAGGCGAGGGATCAGTTTCAGTCTTCTACAAGTCACTAGCCAATTCACCATTTGTAAAATAGAGGATCTTTCCCCCAATTTATGTTTTTGATAGACTTATCAAAGATCAAATGATGATAAGTGGCTGCATTCATCTCTTGTTCTCATAAATGCATTAATGTACACAGTTATAATTTAATAAAAAAATGTTTTCAGAACTTTGAAGTAAGTTAAATACTGTTTTAAATGATCTAAAGGAAACTAACATTATACAAGAAACTTTGTATGATCATATGGAAAACTGATCTTAGATTTTATATAATTCATTACTATGTTTAAATATTCCTTATTAAGGCTCTTGAGGACCTAGTTTGCCTGAAATAGTTATAAACTTTCAAAAGTAGAGGACAAAGCTGCTAGAAGGAATGGATAAGGCAGAGTAAGCATTGAATACTATCCTCGCACCCACTGCCTTTTGCTTTCTCACTTTTCATCCTTTTCCAGTTGTTTTGGTCTTAGTATTTGCTATCTGTTGGGCTCCATTCCACATTGATCGACTCTTCTTCAGCTTTGTGGAGGAGTGGACCGAATCCCTGGCTGCTGCGTTCAACCTCATCCACGTGGTGTCAGGTAAAGCTTCGTTGATTTGTTTGTACTCCACGCGACCAGGTCATTGCTTCTTCTTCATCTTGTTTAGATGTCTGCATATACAGATTTATCTCGGGACCTTCTATATAAGCAGCAAGACATTCAGTTTTTATTTTAGTCAAAGATTTAAGGTATGCTACTAGTCCAAAAATACACATATCAGGTCACTATTTCAATTGGCTACTTTATAGATAATCTCAACTCTAAATTGGCAAGAAATTGCTCAAGAAGTGATTCTTCTGGGTTTCTTGCCAATGGTCACACAATTGAACTGGTTCTTGTTTAGTAACCAGGACAGTATCCATGTCCCCCAAATCTCCTATTGCTTTTAGCAAGTGTTCTGTCCTCATGAAAGCTAACAAAAGTGATGCTACTTTGACTCCGTTTGTCAAAGATAAGACAGAACATATTGGAAATAGTGATGGAAAGGTCACTAAGTCAGAGGACATGGCTTTGCACCTCAGTTCCACCACTGATATTCTGAGTGATCTGGAGCAGATGGCTTCCTTCCTGCTAAAATTTCTTCAGTTGCAAAATGGTAATAATGCCTGCTCTAGGCAAACCACGGACTAATGGCAGGAAGAAAATGCAATTATACATTAATAGATATTAAAGAGTTTTTTAAGCTATAAAATGCTGTGTGTTTTTCTATAATCATCACAACAAGGTTGTGAAGTAGAAAGTATCATCCACATTTTATAGTCGAAGAAAGTTTCACCAGAAGAAATAATTTGCCCAAAGGCACTCAGCTGGTAAATGCAAAAACAGGGCTCACGCCCAAGTCATCTAATGTCTAGTGAAGTATTAAGTACTCTTTCCTCTAAACTAGAGCAGAGCATGCCCTCCCAGGTCTGTCTGTTGGTCGTGGTGACTGTTAGCCTTAGGTTCAGACCTCTTCCATCTCCCAACTCCTGCTGGGCACTGGCTGATTCTGTGGGCTCTTTAAGTTATCAAAGATATCACCAGAAAAGAAAAATAAGTTCAGGTTCTGCAAATTAAGCTCCAGATGTTCACAGAGCAAAAACAATAGCATCTGTGTACTGAATGCCTTGTGTATTATCTATTTTTCTGTTATACTCTTTTTTTTTTACTCAGCAAGGCTTATGTATAGTTTATACCTGGATATTAGTATTTCTGAGTCCAAGCATTTACCATTCAGAGCCAAATATCGAAAATATTTCTGTCTCTTAGTTTATCCTTATGGTTTATCTGATTAAAAAATGGAGTGTTTAAATAAATTGGAAAATACTACAAGTTCAAATAAGATTTGACTTTTTGACCATACCTTTCCAGATATATTAAAGCAACCAGTTTAAAATTCCAAAATTATGGCTATAATGACATTATTCTGCTAAAATACCATCTCTACTTTCCTTACATTACAATCTAGATGAACTCTAAACCTCTTAAGCCCGACAAAAAATGCTTCCAACTTGTCTTTTTACCCTCCAAGTTATAGTATTTCCATCCATAGACCATACACTTCTCAAACTGGCAAATTAGAGAGTTCAGCACATTGTTTCTGTACAACATAACCATCCCTGCCTCTGCACACTTGTGCACAGTACGACTTCTACCTGAAACACTCTCCCCTATCTTCCTTAATTCTCTCCAATCCACTTCAAGGTCTGGCTACAGTCCAATGACCCCACACTAAATCTTTCGTGACCTTAACAGTCCTTATGTTTATGCCATTATGTGAATTGCATAACACAATTGTCAGTATCTCATATTTTCTCCTTTACAGATACTTTTTGACAGTGTTGTATTGATAACTATTCAATTTAGCCATAGCTCTTACCTCTGCAATGCCTTTAAAGAGCTTTGGGGAACAAAGTCTAAACTTACTGCCTTCTCATGTGCCTTGATGCTCCTAGCATAGAATAAGAGTTCCTTTAGAATTTGCTTTTTAAATGAAATAACAGTATATATAAATTTTCTTCTTTGATATTCCTCCCTGCCCAGTCTTTACACCAGCCATGTAGCATTTTGAAGGTCCTGAACTACATAAATGAGGACCACCCACAAGGAGCATGTTGAAAACAGTACTTATCATTTATTTAATATTCTTAGCCATTCTTAGCCTTTCTATCATGGTATCTTCATTTCATCATCACAATAATCTAGGGAGAAGGATTAGGCTGGAATTTCCATTCCCATTTTACAGAGAAAGAAACTGAAGTGTCTGAGTTGGTCCAAGGTCATGGTAAAAGCCAGGGCCAAGATCATAAACTAGGTCCTCTGAATCCCAACCTCAGGCTCGCTGGAGGCCTTGGAAAAACAAAATGGAATATGGCAACGAAGGAAGAGTGTGTACTAAACAGGAAAACACCAATGTGCAAGACGTCTGCTGGAGAAAATAAAAGGCAAAACACAAATATTCAATGAGATGGAAGAGCCTTTGAAGGGAAAGGAGGTTGGGGAATATTTCTTTGCAGAGACATCTAGCATTACAAGGAATCTCAGTGGAACTAAGGCTTGACTTATTCACCATTTCTCCTTTACTTGTAGTTTCAAGTTATAGATTTAAGTAAAATTCCAATAAGATAGAAACATTTCTCTGTCCTCTGATATTTAAGCATCTCTTGTTAATGCTCTAGGAATATCTTCTTTAATTAAACAAGTAGGGATCAAAGAAGGTTGCTGAACATCTTAGAGAGAGCCCATGCCAGCCTAAATTTTTCCAAGATTCTTTAATCTTTCTCTGTTTGATTCCTAAGTGCACAGGTGGAAAATGTGTTCAGTGCATTTTGTATTTCAATTAGAGCCTTGTATACATCATCACTTCCAAAAGAGGCAATCACAGGATTCTGTGCATTTGAAAATATTAATGCTTCTCCCTTCACGTCTCTGCCTTGGTTTTAATTTGTTGCATTCCAGGTGTCTTCTTCTACCTCAGCTCAGCGGTCAACCCCATTATCTACAACCTACTGTCTCATCGCTTTCGAGCAGCATTCCGGACTGTGGTCCCTCCTTGCTGCAAGCGGCAATCCCAGCATGACATGCAGAGACCACCTGCCCAGGGGAACATTTTCCTGACAGAATGCCACCTTGTGGAGCTGACTGAATATACAAGTCCCCAGTTCCCTGGCCAGTTGGCCCTTCATATCTCTCACCTCTCCACAACCCTGTGTACTGAGCAGGTACCATGAAGCAACTCTGAAGGTTCCACCTTCAAAGCACTTGGATTCCTTCAGAGTTGACTTTCTTCTATGCCTCAGAACTGCAGGTAGAGTTAGTCCATAATCTATCCCTTAGGGAGGTAAATGGCTCTTAGTACTTATGGACGAATTTCTAGTTATTTTTTAATATATGTGAAAACTGAGATTTAGGGTCTAAACCCAGAATGACCTGATAATCGGCTATCTTTCCACTTTCCTAACTGTCTTATGCCCCTTCACTAGTCCTGGAACATAACTGGCAAAGCATGGAAACTTGGGTGATCTTCGCTATTGAGAATGTTTCTTTTCTGAGTCATCTATACTTAGTCTTACAACTAACGGTCACTATAAGCCACAGAGGGAAGACATGTAGATACCGTTCTGTGATACTTTATATGATTTGAGAATCCCCTATCAGTGTCCCTCCACAGAAATCTGCAGACACAGTTCATTTTATTGTGCTTCCCTTTATTGTACTTTGCAGACATTGCACATTTTATAAATTGATGGCTTGTGCCAGCTTTGTGTGGGACAATTCTATTGACACCGTTTTCTCCAGCAGCATGTATCTCCATGTCAATTTTGGCCATTCTAACACTTTCAAACTTATTCATGATGATGATGATGATATCTGTAATCAGCGATCTTTGCTGTTACTATCATAATTGCTTGGTGGAAAATGAAGCACATCCATGTAACACCCATGTAAGATGGCAACATAGTATATAAACATCGTGTGTGTTCCAATTGCTCTGCTCGCTCCTGCTTCCCCGTCTTCCTTCATATTCCTCCCTCTCCTCAAGCCTCCCCATTCCCTGAGACACAATAATATTAAAATTAGGTCAATAAATAACCCTGTAATGTCCTTAAGTTTCCAAGTGAAAGGAAGACTTATGTGTCTCTCACTTTAAATAAAACCTAGAAGCAATTAAGCTTAGTAAGGAAGGCATGTCAAATGCGGAGATAGGCCAAAAGCTAGGACTCTTGAACCAAAGGGTCAGCCAAGTTGTGAATGCAAAGGAAAAGGTGTGCAAAAAAATTCAAAGTGCTACTCCAGTGCATGCACTAATGATAAGAAAATGAAACCATCTTATTGCTGATATGGATAGAGTTTGAGTATTTATTATTTATTTATTTTTATTATTGGGGATTCATTGAAGGTACAAAAAAGCAGGTTACCCTAATTGCATTTGTCAGGTGAAGTCCCTCTTCTAAATATGTTCCTCCCCAAAGAGATGTGCCAAATACCATGACCCCCTCCCTCCCCTTCCTCCTTCCCTCTCTCTGCTCCCCCATCCCCCCACCCCCCACCATGTACTAGGTCATCAGTTGTCCTCATATCAAAATTTAGACAGACGGTCGAAACAGCTACAACATTCCCTCCAGCCAGAGCCTAAGCCAGAGCAAGGCCCTAATTCTCTTCAATTCTATAAAGGCTGAGAGAGGTGAAGAAGCCGCAGGGGGAAAGTTGAAAGCTCACAGAGCTTGGTTCATGAGGCTTAAGGAAAGAGGCCTTCTCCATAATATAAAAGTACAAAGTGAAACAACAGAAGCTGAATCGAAGCTGCAGCAAGTTATCCAGATGATCCAGATAAAGGTGGCTACGGTAAACAACAGACTTTTTAATGTAGACAAAACAGCCTTACACTGGAAGAAAATGCCATCTAGGACTTTCATAGCTGGAGAGAAGTCAATGCCTGGCTTCAAAGTGTCGAGACAGGCTGACTCTGGTTAAAACTAATGCCGCTAGTGAATTTAAGTTAAAGCCAGTGCTAGGGCCCTTGAGAATTATGCTAACTCCACTCCGTCTATGCTCCAGAGCAAAAAAGTGTTTTTTTGAGATGAAATTTACTCCTGGCAAAGACGCTGTGAACATGGTTGAAATGACAGCAAAGAATTTAAAATATTCCATAAACTTATTTGATAAAGCAACAGCAGAGTTTGAGAGGATTAAATCCAACTTTTTTTTTTTTTTTTTTTTTTGTGAGACAGAGTCTGTCACACCCAGTATGGGCTGTGGCATCACAGCTCACAGCAACTTCAAACTTGGGCTCAAGCAATTCTCGTCTCAGCCTCCCAAATAGCTGGGAGTACAGGCAACCGCCACAGCGCCTGGCTATTTTTATAGAGGAGATCTCACTGTGGCTCGGGCTCGTCTCAAACTTGTGAGCTCAAGCAATCCACCTGCCTTGGCCTCCCAGAGTGCTAGGATCATGGATGTAAGCCACCATGCCCGGCCTGAGTCCAACTTTGAAAGAAGATCTACTGTGGGTAAAATGCTATCAAATAGCATAGCAGACTATAGAGAAATCTCTCATGAAGAGTTCATCATTGTGGCAAACTTTTTGGTTACCTTATTTGAAGAAAATGCCACAGGCGCCTCAATTCAACAACCACCAACCTAATCAGTCATCAGGCATCACTGTCAAGATAAGACCCTCTATCAGCAAAATGATTACCCCTCACTGAAGATTCAGATGATCATTAGTGTTGTTTGCAATAACATATTTTTAATTAAGGTATATACATTGCTTTTAAGACATAATGCTACTTCACATTTAATAGACTACAGCATAGTATGAATGTAACTTTTATATGCATTGGGAAACCAAAAAATTTGTGTGACTCATTCTATTGTGGTGGTGTGGGGCTAAGCCCACAGTACTTCCAAGATGTGCCTCTTCACCCTCTTGCCCCATGTTCTGCCATTATGATGCGATTCCCTATAGTCCTGAAGGCTTTTGCTTTAGGGGTTCTGATAACACAGGGATACTCCTTTGTACTCTCATCTCTGCCTTTAGATTATCAATCATTGCTCATTAGGAATGGGATCAGACACAAATCTAACTTACAGAATGAGAAGAGGTTGTGTTTTAAAACACACAAACATAAACTACACCAAACAAAGACTTATTTTAATAATCTGGTCTAGACTAGGTTTTCTAACATCCTAGGTCAGGGGTGTCCAACCTGCAGCCTACAAGTTGCATGCTCATTTTGTGAGGACTTTTTTGCTTATCTGTGGTGCTAGGTATCACCAACAGTATACATGGACTGTTCTTTTGCTATTCAGTTTTTGTTAGTATTTGTGTATTTAATGTGTGGCCCAAAACAATTCAATTTTTCCAATGTACAGCAGAGGAGAAAAGAGATTGGACAATCCTGTTGGTTCCTACAGTGTAGATAAAGGTACGGTCCTGGTACAAAGACAAGTCAAATGGCAGCTATTGGTCTCAAACCCATGACTTTTGCTTACTTAATCCTTTATTCATATTTAATACTCTTCACACATACCATATAGCCAAAATGTGTACTTCCCAGACCTATCATGCATTATACCATCATAAGTAACTCTACTAAACTGGATTACTTACTGTTCTTATAAAAATGCATCTTACAGTTTTTCCTAGCTGCACATCTTTGCACAGGATGACCTCTTTATCCTCAATATCCATCTGTTTCTATCCTATCTGTTCTTCAATGTTCATCTAAGTGTGGTACCTCCTTCCTGAAGTCTTGATTTATTCCAATAGGCATGGTATCTAACTTTGCCGTTAGTGTGTGTCTCTTAAGCTTTTTCTTCACTCTGCTTTTTATCAGTGATTTATATTGTTGCTTTGCCAGAGTGTAAATTTTGTAAAGGCATGAAGTATCTTCTGTTCATTTTTTTCTGTTTTTGAAACCCTGACAATATATCTATCACAATGGTAGATGTTTAATAAATATGTGACAAAGTGAAGTGGCTTTATATTTCAATGTATTGAGTTCAACAATAGATCCAAATAGAACCATGTTAAGAGCCAAAAGACTATGTCCAATTATGTTTCCAACAGGAATATCTGGCCTTCAGCTGACCATAGTCAGCTGCAATTATAATTGTTGGCCTGCAGTACCTGTGGTACAAAAAGGCCCTTCCTATTCTCAAAAGTTACTGATGCTGAAACATGCAAGTTCCAACATTTAGTCTCTGAATTATTTTTCTAAATTAAATAAAGAATCCCAGTGATAAATGGGGGTACTTTTCTCTGATATCGTCATTTACTAACTTAACAGTCATACTCAATGTGATTCAATGTTAAAACAAACAAAAAACCTCTTTGCTAATAACAACTCAATTTTAATGAATCAGCATTAACTATCTAGTGATGATTAATGTTGGTGAATAGAATTCTCTGGTTATTTGAGGATTAAGTTGAAAAGATTCAGCAAAAGAAAACCTCAGAAGTGGAGAAGAAATGAGTTTTCTACTTGTCTTTTAAAATAGAGATATTTTTGAATGATGATCTAGTAGGGTCATTATTTTCCACATTCACTCTCAATAACCAGGACTAAAAATGTTGCTGCTGTGGGTGGTGCCTGTGGCTCAAAGGAGTAGGGTGCCAGCCCCATATGCTGGAGGTGGCAGGTTTAAACCCGGCCCCAGCCAAAAACTGCAAAAAAAAAAAAGAAAAAAAAATGTTGCTGCTGTTAGTAATTGGACAGAAAAAGCAAAAACCCTAAAACTAAAGCTAGCGATTTGGTTGTTTACCTTAAACTTTGGTTTCTTCTTTGTTTTCTACTTATTTATCTTTTTCTCTTAAAAACTTTGTGTCAGAAAATTATTGACCAATTCTTTCTTTTAACAATCTCAATTTAAGGACAGCTAGGTGATATGTATCACACCAGGTTATGGATTTCCTGACCTGCAAAGTTTACATCTAGAAGAAATAATTACTTTTAAAAACCATCACAAAATTATTACTTAAGTCTAGTTGTGAAATGTGCCACAAAATATAAATAAAAGTACTTTGGGACTAGAAAAAAAAAAAGTGGGTGGGGTTCGACCTTGTCAAGAGACAATCAATGTAAGAAAAAGAAAAAATTAGTGTTGAGTTCTTATTTATTTACACATGAACATATATACATAGAGGAAGCATGTATTTCAAAATAAAAACTGAAATATTGTAGGACCTAGAGTTAACATGTAACAGTTCACCCAGAATTAGTAGAAT